CCTTTCGATTTCTGTACAGGACTGGAGGAATCCAGACCACCAGGATTCAAGAAGAAGCTTCTTTCCCATTGGTCGCTGTCTCTGGTCCTCAACTCCAGGTGCTGCTACTTGTCCTAAAACTGAATCCCCTTACTTCCCTAAACCCTCCGGCCCATCCTCTTGCTAAACTTCTGTAAGTTGACTAATTGGCCTCCTTTAAGCCCATGTGTGGTGCATGCCTGGCAGTTGAGGAAGGATACCACAGATCAGGAAGGAGAGGAAAGACAAATGCTGGTCTGCAGTTTCTCCTCTCTCTTGCCTTCCTGCCCAAAGACTAATTCCTAAATGCCCAGGGGATAATGAACTCCTGCCACCATGGTTCTCCCACTCAGGTGGATCAGGCAGCTTTCCTTAAAGGGCAGCACTAGGAATTGCCTGGTTATTTCCTTATTGTCTCTCAGGGTTACTTCCCCTTATTAGAATTCTGGCTCCAGCATTTGCCTTTAAGCAGTTATCTAAGTGTTGTCTCCTCAGGGGGCCAATTTGCTTTCCAACCTCAATAAACTCTGTTAATTACACTATAGGCAGGGCTCAGGCTAGGGAATCTTGTTACCATCAATGGCTTGATGGAAAAATTTGCACGGCCCAATACTAGATGTTGCCTTTCTGGTTCTATGGAAAATTTCAGACCTTTCTTCCTAATTCTTATTGACTGGGATCCTGGGGGGCTGACCCTCTCAGATGAAAAAGGGTATAGCATAACTGCCGTATTAAGAAAGGACCTTGAGATCTATATATTAGGAAAGCTGGCCTTCCCAAGTCCCATGAGGCCATGGGACCTGGTGAGCTGGAGCTGGAGAGGAGGCTTAGTCCAAACAGGTTTTGTTTGGGTTCATGAGTATGATGGGTCATCAACCCCTGCATTCATGTACACTCAGGGGTGGAGGGTGGCAGTCTATCCAGAAACAAAACCTCATACCAAGGACATTAGCTCCACCTGAGTAGACAAACTCCCTGCTTGACATCAAAGATTCCTTTCTCACTGAGCCAGGTCTCTTGGAACTGTCAAAGAGGGGTCCTGATCATAGAGGGCTTTCTGAGGAAGGAAAGCAAACAAAGGGGGTGGGGGGAGCTCAGGGGACCCAGCATTCCAGGGAGAGGAAAGGAGTGTGTAGAGAGCAGGTCAATTCCCTGCACAGTGGTCTTCCTGGGTGTTGCTAGTTCAGTTCAGTTCTGGTTGGCACACCTGAGACTTCCCTGCTACCCTACACCCTAGGTCTAGCTGTGGATGCTTGTCCTGTGTCCTCTTGCTCTGGTTTCATCTAAAGTTTCCTGAATTTACTGTGATGAACTCGCTCCAGCTCCTTGAGCACTCATCTACCCCAGACATAACGGGGAAATGCCACTTGTGAACAATAGGGAACAAAGTTGGAAAGAGAAAATGATCACCCCTGAAGAAGCCATCCATGAAGTTCACACCGGGTCTAGGAGCTTAATGGAACCGTGGTTCTTAGAAGTACAGTATTTGTCAGGCACACATGTGAGATTTAGGTTGGGGCACTCTTTTGTCTTAGATAGCAGAAGGCCAAGGTGGAATCTTGTTCCCAACAGGTCCTACGGAAGGTTGGAGCTCAAGTACCAAGGACTCTGAGATTTATTTGTGCCTATACTTTTTTACTTCAGAATAAGGTTGCTTCACAATGCAATGTCTTCCTTCAACTCTACATCCCCAGTCTTGCAGAGCTTAATTTGTGTAAACTTGGGTCAGATTCCTCCTGGGGAAAGAGCCAGAGTCCTTGTGGAGTAAATGCAAGCCAGAGCCAGAAGTGCTCCAAAATGCTGCTTCCTTGGCTTCATTCTGCTCTAGCAGCCTGCTCAGCTTAGGAGGCGGTTGGGGCTCACAGTTATCAATTCACAGAGTTAAGAAGAACTTGTCATCCACCCCCAACTTGGAGCCTTGGAATTTCTAGTTCTATTTAAGGTAGAAGAGATCCTTGTGGATTCTTCTATCTTTTCCGAATGGCTAGAGGCAGGAAAAACAAGCCATGTAAAAAAAAAAAAAAAACTTAAAATGTGAAGTTGCCCAATAAGTCTGTGGTTTATTGAGTAGAAATCATGCTCACATTGAAACTACCATCCTCTACCTGGTTTTAGATGATAGCTATCTCCAAGGACAGCTTTAGGACCCAAAAGAACAAAGCTCAGACTCATACAGGAAGCACAAACAAAGAGGGCTATACTGGTTTGATGGAGACACAAATGCAGCCCAAGGAGACCTAGTGGTAGTTGGATCTTAGAGGGCTGATGGGAAGAAGAGCCCTTCAGAGCGAGGAGGGATAGGGAGGAGCAGGTCAAGGACAAGGTCCCATTGAATGATACTGGGCCTCCAGTTTGTGTCCACACCAGCAACCATGTTGGGCATTTTGATAAACTGATCAGATGGCTAACCAACTAGTCAGTCAAACTCTAGGAAAAGCTGTAAGGCAATAATAGTATATTTTGGTAGCTTTTGTCTCCATGTACTTATGTTTTTGCCACCTCAATGATGTTTTCTCCTTGTTTTGTAGGAACTCATGGTCATAGAATCACAGAAACTTGGAAGATAAGAGGCTACAGTGGTCACCTGGTCTAGCCTGCCACCCAAAGCAAGTGTCATAACAGGCCTCCAGCTGCTCCTGCATTGCCTCAGCAGGTAACTCAGAGTCTCACAGGACAGCGATTCTCAGGAAACTTGCATGGTTACAATGCACCTCTCTCCACTGATTCAAATTCTGCTTGCTTATTACACCCCTATGCTCTGTGCTCTATAGCACGGTAGATTGATTCCCCCACAGCCAGTTCTTTTTCACTCCTTCCTTCTTCTTCTTTTCCTCCTCCTTTATTTTTTTGAGTATACTGGGGTTGAACTCAGGGCCTCCTGTTTGCTAGGCAGGCATTCTATCATTTTAGCTATTTCTCAAGCCCTTTTTGGCATTAGTTATTTTTCAGATAGGAGCTCAGGCTTTTTGTCTGGACTTGAACTGCAATCTTCCTACCTCTATCCCTTCCAGGCTGGAATTACAGGGGTGAATCACCTCAGTTTCCCCTCTCCCCTTTTATTGACACAGGATCTCACTGTATAGTCTAGGCTGGCACTGGTCCCAAGTGCTGGAACTATTTCTTCTTTTTAAGCCAAATACAACCAGCCTCATCACCATTCCCAGTGGAACAGGGGAGCTCCAGCTCCTTATTTGCCCCACTTAGCTTTAGCTCTGCATGCCTGTTTTTACCAAAACTGTCTCAAAATGTGCTGCTCGTGTTTTCTTTGTATTCTCCTTTTCTTTTTCATGAAACCTATTCTCAGAAATGGCTCCTTCCACCTAAGATGCAAATGATCAATCATGCTTACTGTGTTCCCTTCCCAAGAGTGTTTATATTTTAATAGGTTCAAAGCCTTAAGTCACAGAGATGGCTGGGAATGCTTGGATAGCAGGTAATGGGGACACAGGAGACAGGAGAAGAAGCAAAGAACTTTTCCTGGAAACCTTAAAATCATGCCTGGTACAATTCTTAAATAGAAGACCAACCTGACCAGGTAACTGCCTCAAGATGAAAACTGATGCTGTGAACTTAAGTGGGCTCAGGTAGTTTGAGGTACCAGATTCACCTTATCTCAGGTGACACAATTCACCTGGCCAGGCAAATTCCCATAAAATGAATTCTTTGAAAGTTGGGACTAGTCTGATTCTTTTCTGATTTATTGTCAAGCCTGAGACCTAAGTAACATATTAGCAGTTCCTCATGCAATGTCTTCTGGATGAATGAGTGAATGAGATCAGACCACAAGGCAGAGTTTCTTAAGTCATGAACATTTGGCATATGGTCCTGGGCAACCAGCATGGGGGCCCATCTGGAACAGAATAAGGGAATGGGCTGAATTATGGGGCTATACATTACCAGAAGGTGTATCTGATTTCAGGACAAGAGGAGAAAAACAACAACAAAAGAATAACATGAGGACATGTAGGGATTCAATTTCAGCCCCCATCCCAAAGATTTTCTGAAATGTTAGTTTTCATTCAACAAATTCAACATATTCATCAAATTAAAGGAAATAAAGGTTGGGACCCAAATCAGTGGCTGGAAGATCAAGGTGGAGAAGCATCTCAGAGCAAAAATAAAAATGACAAAAATTGTGAAGAGGAAGAAAAGCAGGGCTAAGGAAGGATTCTTGCCAAAAGGAGAGGTAAGTAGCAAGAAAATCACATCAAAAATGATCCGTCATCTCAGCAAAATTTAGGGTAAGAGGTGGCTGGAGAAATGTAAGTGTTTTAAGGACTGGCGCACTGATGAAGGAATTAGGGAGAGAATTATAAAGGCTTTAGTTCCTTGGGATGGGCAAGGAGCATTGGAGAAGTGGAGTATCTACTCAGGGTAAGCTAGTAGGTATTTTGTTTTTAAATAATAATAAATAGTCTTTTGATCATGAGTGCTGAGAAAGGGGCCATAACCACTAGTGAAAAGAAAAATCTGAATGTTCAAGATTCCTATATACCCTAATTGCCCATGTTTAGACTTTAAAACTCCATTAGTGTGAAATTCCTCTCTTCTGTATAGGTACCTATCAGCCACCAGGTCTGCACCAAAGATGACTCAACCTTCTAAGTCCCCAACTTACCCCGACTCCATGTCTGCCTATGAACCACTTAGTAAATTCAATTCTATAGCATCTATTATTTAGTTATGTCAAGAAGATCATCTTTTATTTACCTTCTCCAAAGACTTGTTTTTCACCAACAACATGTAAATCACACTCCTTACTTCTAACTCTGGTAATCTCATCACCAACTTTCTTTAATGTTGTACAATATAATATGCAGATTTGGGTAGAGGGAGAAAAATCAGCCTTAGGGAGAAGGAAGTACAAGTGTCTTTGATTTGATAGAAGTGTGAAGAGAGGCAAAGAATGTAAGCACTGAGCTAATTGCCCCAGAGTTGAGACCACAGGGGTCCAGATAAGAGCGTTTCTGCTGGGAGCTGGGCTAGTCACCGCTGGGGGCCTTCTCTTCTTCACTGCTTTTCATTGTAAGGTAGTAGATGCGGTTGGCCTCTGGATAGGTGACTTTGCTGAGCGGGAGCTTGTAGATGGCAGGGTTGTTGGTTGTCAGGAGCAGGAAGATGAGGGTAGAGAGGCAGAAAGCCCAAGTGCCTGGTGGCACACCAACCTGGAAATGAAAACATTGGGTCTGAAGAATATTTCTAGGCTCCTGTGTTGGGCCAGAGACATGAGTGGAAGGATGTGTAGGGGTTTAGGATGGGGCCCTAGCTAAGGCATTGGTATTCCTGGATTCAGAAAGTCAGAGTAGGTCAAGGGATTTGAGGTGGTGGTCCTTTTGGACATAATTAAAATATTTTAATATTGGAGCTGAAGATTGGTTTAGGAATGGTCTCCAACATCCAGCCCTACAGAGCTTAATTTGTCCACCCCTATTCTCCACTACATTGTGCTTTCTTCCTTTTAACACACACACACACACACACACACACACACACACACACACACACACAGGCTGGTATGCGCATTGGATGAAGTAGTAGATCCTGTAACCCCTACTCAAGATTCTCCTCCACACCCCAAGTGTCTGGAAGCTCTGACAAGGGAGAAACACTTTCAGATGATATTCAGCAAAGCACAAACTTACCACTGCCATCAAGTTGGAGAGGGCTGCTCCCATGTATGCACAAAACAGGGCTGTGGAGAAGCAAGGACCATCAGAGTCACTTTCCAGGGCCTGCCCCACCCTCCCACTCCAGCCACTGCCCTGATTGAATGGGCAGTCTAGACCACAAGCTGGGGTCCCGCACACTTTCCTGAAGCTTCAGTGTCTGCTCTCCATCCTGACACTGCCAGTTGCCTGTTATTTGTTATCTTTGTGGTTATCTCTCACTAGACTGTGCATTCTCCAAGGGCAAAGATTAAGGCTTTTGTGCCCTTTATGGCCTCTCCACTTCCATAGTGACTTTGTACAGAGTTGGGGTCAATACACATCTTTTGCTTATCCCCACTGACTTGGGGATGGGCTAGCACAAGCACATAACCAACAGGGGAGGGAATAGCCAGAGTGACTTGGTTGTCATTTTCCCAAATACCAACCACAGACAAGGGCCAGCAGGTGGGTCTGCCAGGTGAGGGCGTAGAACATGCCCCCGATGGCGACACAGGAGAGGACGCAGTTGTAACTGCAGAGGCCCAAGTAGATCGTCTCGAAGGGCGTAGCCACCGTCAGGGCTGTGGAACAAGATGTGACCTTTCTGGGTGATTCTGGGCCACAGAAAACAGGCCACCCCATGGCTGGTGCCAGGTGTCAGAGTGGCCTCCCTCTTCTCATTTACTCTACCGTACTCACAACACTGTCTATTGAAGGTGCCTCTTCAAGTTTCATCTGGTCTCAGGAAACCAACAGTGAGAAGAAAGCAGTGGTTTCTAGACTGTTTTCCAAAGTTCTAGTTTTCACCCAAGATGTGACTACTTATGAGATGAAAGATGGCTTGGGAGGGGGACTTTATCCCTGTTCCCTAATCCTTTACCCAAAGCAGCTGTATCTTCAGCAAGCAAGATTTTGATTTAAAAAGTTCTGTTTTAAGAGGTTCAGAATAATTCTGACACACAGATATATGCAGACAGAGGAATGTCGCAGCACAGGGGCAGGGTGTGAATAATAGGGGAGCCTGGGTAAAGAGTTAGTGAGCACCTCTGGAATTACTTTTGTTTTTGTAAGTTTTGATGAGTTTGAAATTGGATCCAATGACAAAAATTTAAATTATGCTTCCAAAGTTTTTGAAAATCATCAGAATAAGTAAAAAACAGTCTTCCTCTCCTGGTGTCCCTTACCCCATTTTCTGACTATTATGGGAAAGAACATATCCATATATAAATGTGTGTACATACATATACATATGTGTAGGAATATGAAATCACACTTGAGAAATGCCAATCCAATTTTTGGAAAAACTCTCCTTTTTAGCTCACTGAAAACTTCAAAGTGCTGGGCCACTTGGACCCCCAGCTTGTGTTACGTCTGCTCCCCTTCCTCACTTGGTTACTCTTATGCACCCTCAGTGGCAGGACACAATATGCAAGCCCCCATTTTTCTGCATGCCCCACTACTGCAATCTGCTTCCTTTGGATGCTCAAGAAATGGAAAAATATATCCCTACCCCTGACAGAGTTTTAAAACTCTACCAAAGACAATAAATCTAGATTGTTTGCTGTGTGTAAGAGAAAGGAGTTCAGGAAAATGACCTCAAAGACCTCCTTGGAGAGCAGGGGCTCCATCCTACCTGCCAGTATCCCAATGATTGACCCGATGGCTGCATGTAAACAGATGAGTGGCGAAGAGATGAACAGAGCCACCAGGATCATGCCTCCTGTCCAGGGATTGTCACAGCCATACACCTGGCCAACCCCAATGGGGATGGCTTGCAACAGCTGCAAAGTCAACAGAATGCAGGTTACTGGAGCGTGGGCTGACAATGCAAAGACCAGGACTGCCAGACCAAGACCGAGCCATTCCTGGAGTAGGTAATGAGGTGGAATGGGAGGATGACCATGCAGTCCAGTGTGAGAGAGAGCAGGGGAGGACAAAAACTGGAACAAATAGCTCCTCACTTCACCACCTACCAGGCATCCAGCATCCTGCATGCAGTCAGGTGGAGCTCCCAACATGGGGGCTGGGTACAGATGCTTCTGAGGAACATATGGCTTCTGTTTTGAGAGGAGAAACTTTGAGGTGCCAGAATGCACCTCCCTGGTAGGCTGCCATTGAGGGTTTCAGGCGCTGGGGATTTCCTTTAGACTTCCTGAAATCCTAGAAATATTGGAAATATTCTGGGCCATTTTGATGGGTGTGGGAGAAAGGAATTTTTGAACTTGACTCCTAGTCTAAGCTCTTCACTACCGTCCCTGACTCTCCATTGAATCATTATTGACACATCTTCTTTGTGGGTGCTGTCCATTCAGCACTACCCTGGTGTGGTGAGTCTCTTTGAAGAAGACATTTTCCTGTTCTTCAGGAGCACTTAGCACTGCAGAAAAGTACTGTGTGGGACACACAGAGAGTGGCTCGAGTCCCAAACATTGTTAAGCCTGAGTGACAGGGGGTGAGTAATTGGGAACTGATGTCAGGTGGTCTTTCCCTAGTGAGGTTGGATTGTCCTTATTTTTGCAGTCTTTTGAGGGCAAAGAGGAAAAGAGGGAGACTGGTAGAATAGAATGAGTCCTGATTTGGGAATTCAGGGCTCCAATTGGGGGGGATCTGCATGGGTTCATTGTGTGACCATACTTATGTTACTTCCACATTTGGGCTAAAGTGTCCTCTGCTACACAGGAGCCTGGCTTGGAAGATGATCTTCTTACTTTAAACCTCTGTAGTTCTTTTCTGTATTACCAGGTCATATGACTCTAAGAAGATAGAGTTCTTTATGGCTGGGAACAAAATAGGTGCTTATTAAATATGTATTGATTGACCTGATGGTTCCAAAACCTTGCTGTATATTGGAAAACCCCAGGGATCTTAAAAAAAACATGCATGCCTGGGTCCTCCCTAGACAATCTAGTCTGAAAGAATTTCCCTGGCCTTAGGTAAATCTAATGTACAACAGAATTTGGGGCCTACTAGACTGGTTATAGATTAATGACTGAAGGTGTGGGGAGCCAAGTTTGTTCTTTTTAACAACTTGATTTGATTCTGGAATCAGTCTGATTTCTTTTTGGAATAGTGTTTGAAGAGTCCCCATAGAGCTTTCAAGCTTTGGTCTCTCTTGTGTCAGAATAGATGGCCTTTTCATAACCAAACTGTTATAAACTTGTAAAAGGTATGGCAGGCAGGGACCCAGTCTAGTTATAGGAGCCCATAGGACACTTTGGACCAGACTAGGGAACTCAGCTTATGTGTGGAGGAATGGGTTAGAAGTCTACTCAACACATCTCCCATGACTTGCCAATATCTGAGGTATGCAGGTTGCTGAGGGGAGTTCAGCTTCTACCTTTCCATCCAGGATCACAGGTTGTAAGCCCAAGCAGTCAAGAATGAGAGGAGGGGGTGGGGGCAGGAGGGAGAAATGACCCAAGCCTTGTATGCACATATGAATAATAACATCCATAACATCCATGTTTATTGCGGCACTATTCACAATAGCCAAGTTATGGAAACAGCCAAGATGCCCCAGCACTGACGAATTGATTAAGAAAATGTGGTATCTATACACAATGGAATTTTATGCAGCCATGAAGAAGAACAAAATGTTATCATTTGCTGGTAAATGGATGGAATTGGAGAACATCATTCTAAGTGAGGTTAGCCTGGCCCAAAAGACCAAAAATCGTATGTTCTCCCTCATATGCGGACATTAGATCAAGGGCAAACACAACAAGGGGATTGGACTATGAGCACATGATAAAAGCGAGAGCACACAAGGGAGATATGAGGATAGGTAAGACACCTAAAAAACTAGCTAGCATTTGTTGCCCTTAATGCAGAGAAACTAAAGCAGATACCTTAAAGCAACTGAGGCCAATAGGAAAAGGGGAACAGGTACTAGAGAAAAGGTGAGATCAAAAAGAATTAACCTAGAAGGTAACACCCACGCACAGGAAATCAATGTGAGTCAATGCCCTGTATAGCTATCCTTATCTCAACCAGCAAAACCCCTTGTTCCTTCCTATTATTGCTTATACTCTCTCTTCAACAAAATTAGAGATAAGGGCAAAATAGTTTCTGCTGGGTATTGAGGGGGGGAGCGGGAGGGGGCGGAGTGGGTGGTAAGGGAGGGGGTGGGGGCAGGGGGGAGAAATGAACCAAGCCTTGTATGCACATATGAATAATAAAAGAAAAATGAAAAAAAAAAAAAAAGGAATGAGAAGAATGAGAGGACAAGTGGCTTTGGGGTGGAGCCTGGGTTCAGAATGAAACTTTTCTGCTGGGATCCATATTTTACCCTGGTAAACTGTACACTGAGACAATCTGCTCCAGGCCACACTGCTCTCCAGGCCACAGCTGACACCTGGGGGTGAAGGACAGTCAGATGTGTTGTGGAAATTTACTGAACACCTGGCCTCCTCTGAACTTCTTATAATTCTCATACAACAAGCACCTGGTTAAACAAAGAGGATGTCCTTCCTCCCCAGTGTTTGAGAGGAAGAGAGAGATGTCATCAATTCTTCAAAACTCAGGTGCAGATGGTGTGGGAGAAAAGGTTGTCAGAGAGGTGAGCTGGTGGAGAGGGGAGACGTGGGCCTCAGGATGCCCAGATTAGGGTCCAACCATTTCCTAATTGTTTATTTGAAAAATGAATAAGAGCCATCTTTTCCCTGTGACCCACACTACGCTGGTCCCCTCAGTGCTGGATTTTACAGCTTTCTTAGTGTGTGTGTGGGGGCAGTGGGGGTTGGGTGAACCTTTCTCTTCAGTGGTGCCACGTGTACCTGTGGCTGCCACTAGGGCAGTGCCTCCTCGGTAGAGATCAGGGACAGGGAGTTCATGTGCCTAAAGGAAGTTTGCTTAATTGACAGATGGCTTTGACAATTCTGTCCAAGTTTTGTCCTTGTTACTGACTTGGCTTCTTTGCATCTGAAAGTGGGCGAAGGCAGCTCTTTGTCTTTTAATCTCTTGGGTTTAGGCACTAACCCTGTCTCTGATCCCATGCCACCCTAGCCCCAACCCAAGACAACACTTAAAAAGATAAAAACTTCAAAAAGCCTTTGTTTGCCCCAGCATTTGCCACCAGAAGTGGGGCAGCACTTCATTTCTGATGGGCTTAGGTTTAGAGTACAAATGTCCCTGGAGGACCTTGGAATGAGGGCTGGGAAATTGAGCACCAACAGAAAGTCACACGGAGGGTTCAGGCACACCTAGAACAATGAGTGTGGCTGGGCAGTGAGGGCTCAAAAGTCCTATCATAGAAACAATATTGGAGGACTACAGAAACAGTATCTGGGTTACTCTAGAAAACAGAGCTAGAAGCAGTCATGAAAGATAAAGGGAGATGGGTTTCTGAGGAATGTACAGAACACTCCAGCACTTAACGATAAGTACTGGTGGGGTGGCCTGCTTTGAGAAATAGCAGGTTGTGTCTCACTGATGGTTCAAGCTGTGGGTACATGTCATGCCTGGAACTATCAGGGTAGTGGCTCAAAGTTAGTGTTCTGCCTCAGGCTGCCCAGGTGTTTTGCATAGGCATTAGCTACAGGTTGTTCTTGGTCAACTGTCTCTGTGCCTTAGTTTTTTTCATCTTTAAAGTGGGAACAATTATAATACCTACAGTGTTGGGTTATTCTGAGGGTGAAATGGGTTAAGACAGTAAGGGCTTGGGACAGTGTTTGATACATAATAAATTTGCTTTCATATTAGCTGTTAGTTATTTGTTTGTTAACAAGACCAAAAATTTACAATTTTATATACATAATCTTATGATAGATTTTTATTATATTCCTTTATTCTCAGTGTCTACAGATCAGTAGAATAAACACATATGCCCATTTGTAAGTTGTCTATCAAGCAGAGTTTTTCAACTTTGGCTCTATCAACATTTTGGATGTATAATTCTTTACAGGGAGTGTGGGAAGCTGTCTTGTGCAGTGTAGGATGGTTAGCAAAATCTCTGGCTTCTATTCACCAGATGTTAGTAGCACCTCTTTAGTTTTGACAACATAAAATGTCTCCAGATGATGTCCCCAAGGAGCCAGATCACCCTGGCTTAAGAACAACTAATATACAGTATGTGAAAATTCACCCTTTGTCTTCTACTGATAATTTTTAAAAATATTTGTTAGTCGCTTTCCCCTTTATCAAATTATCGATCGTATCTAATATTTTTCACTTGACTACAATCATGCTGTAATGTGAGTGTCACATGTATTAGTTCACTGAGTGTTATCTCTTTCCCTGTGTAGAATGTAGGTTTCATGAGGACAGGGATGTTATCTTATTCCTTGTGTGCCTGGCACACATTAGATGTTCGGTAGAGATTTGTTGAAAGACTGCATGGATGTGGAAGCAATGCTTTCTGATCACTGGTGAGCCCTATCATCTGGGTTGTAGTGAAGCTGAGAGGCCATTTGTCAGAGGCTTTGCAGTAATATCCAGGAGATATAGCTCATCACCACTGGGTAACTTACCAAGGGCATTTCAATCTCTGTCCAAGTGATATTTGGCACTGAAGATGTGGGCTTTACCAGTGTCGTGGGGAAGAAGAGGTTGAAGTGGCCTGTAGCTGTCAGGTACAGGGTCAAGATGATGTTGAAGGGAAGTGTGAAGACAGGCAGGTCCAACTTGCTGAAGATGGAATTCAAGGCACTAGAAATAACTGGGCTGAAGACAGAAGAGAGCAAGGGTTAATTGCTGTGAGCATCCTTAGGGTGACACTGCCTTATCATCTGTGGCTACTGTACCATCCACCATCCCCTCTCTGTATCATAGACGTTCCCGGCTCCTTGAAATTCCAGTGGTTTGTTGATCTGGGATTGGTATTTTGCTTAAGTTTGTGCCTTTGAGAAACAAATTAAAAATATAGCATTTTGTATAAAATATTTTATAAAATAATTTAAATATTCCCTTGATTCTTAAAAGGGAAAATGAAACAAGATGTGATCTTTACAAAATGCAATTGGACTACTTTGGAGTCTGACCATCTAGGACGAGGCTGCATGGCCTGTAGGCAATGTACAAGTTTGGGTTCAGCAAAAATACCAACTACTCTGGAAATGTCAGGTGAGATAGAGTTTAGTTGTTTGTACCCTCTGTCTTCTTGGCCTCTTCCTTCAAAACAGCATGAATTTTGGAGACAGAGCTGGCTGAAAATTCTGACTCCTGTATTTACAGACTGAGTGAGTAATGTGAGGAAATTAATCTCCCTTGGTTTCAGTTTTACCTGGAAGGGACAAGCCACCCTAGCTATCTAACACTCCACATCTCCTATACTCAGAAGCTGATGGACAAAATGTGAAATCCCATGAGATGGTTGAATTGCCTCCTTTAACTAATGACTACGACTCTCACATGGATACTTGGAACTGCTTGAAAACTCTGGTACACACACCTAGCACATTAGTTCTCCAACACACTGAGAACTATTTCACATTTTCACCTTTCTCTCCAAATCTTTACTCTCTGCTTCTCTTTCTGTTTTAGCCAACCACTGGGCTTTACTTTAGTAATAAACAACAGATGCGACTAGATGAGATGTATTCTATTTTCCCAACCATAAGAATCCATACCCTGCCTGCTTTGTTTCCACATACTCTGCTCTTGCATTTGAAAGGAGTGTTACTTTTCCTTCATCAGGATAATTCCTTTTCTTTTCTTTGGAGCAGTTCTGTCTCAAGGGCTTCAGTTTGCAATAGTCTCCTCTTTCTCTTGCAGCTTCAACCACTTCTTTTTTCCAGATTATTCTCATCAGTCTATGATAAGCGTTAATGTCTTATACCTTTAAAAATGCTCTCCATTTAAGTTGATGACCACGCCTGCTCTTCCCCACTTCTCTGCTCACCTTCATAGCAACACTCCTCAAAAGGGCTGGCAATCTTTGCTATCCCAATCTTTCTGTTCCTAGTCATTCCTGAACCCATTCCAATCAGAGCTGCATCCTAATTGCATCACAGAAATGGCTCTTTTGCAGGTCACCAAATGACATCTATCTTTCCAAATCCCTTCCCCTTAATTCAAAGTTGAGTCCTCCCACTGTATGGGAATGCATTCTCTGTGGATTACCATGACACCATACTTCCTTAGCTTTCTTTCTGCCTGCTGCCTCTCAAGTCTTTTTCTTTGACTTTCTCCCTCTTTTGCCAGACATCTAAATGTTGGAAAATCCTACAGCTCTGCCTTGGATCTTCTCCTCTCTTTCCTTTTGGGTGATATTCTTTAGTCCTCTGAATGAAATACCTTCTATATGTTTCTGTCTTGAAAATCTTGACCATATCACTAAGTTCTAGATTTGTACATTCTCTGTATTTCTACTTGGAAATCCAATGTGTCCTAACAGAAGTCTTGATTTGCATCCCATCCCCTTGACCACTCTGTTTTTCTCTTAGTCTTCATAAACCAGATTCTCAGGCAAATTACAGGATCATATTGAATCTTTGTATCTTTTTTTCTCCTTCATATCCTCAGCGTCCTAGCAAGTTCTGTTGTCACTGACCTCCTTAAATGTATTCCAGATGCAGTCACTTCTGGCCACATTCATGGATGTCACTCTAGTCCAAGCCACTCATCTTTCTGTGAGTCCTTATTAGCAGACTCTTAACTATGTTTCTGAAGCCACTGCTGCTTTAGCTAAAATCCATTCTGTACTTTGCAAGTGCAAGGATTTGTTTAAATTTAAACTATGTCCATTCCCCCTAACCGCCCTGGCTTAAAACCCATTAACTGCTTCCCATTTTTACTGCAGTTGTAATCAAAACCAGAATACTTATTGGATCTACAGGGTGTACAAGGAGCACCCGCACCTATTCTGCCCTCACCTCCTGCCACTCCTCCATCATTCTTTGGGCCTCAGCCTCATGGGTCTTGTCTCCGTTTTGTGAACACGTCCCTCTTCATCAGCTATGCATCTTCTAGCTGCAACATCCTTTTTCCACATCTGCAGATGGCAGATGTCCTCTTGTCATTTTGGTTACAACTAAAATGTTCCATCTACACAATGAACTTCTCTGACCACCGATGCCTGGAATCACTCTTGCTTTCCTCAATGCACTCATCACATCTTGAAATGACCTTCTTTAGTCACTAGCTTAGGAGTTTATTTCTGTCTGTCAAGAATGTGAACTTCCAAGAGAGTAGAGATCTTTCCCTGTTCACAGCTATCCTCACCATCTACGATAGTCCTTGCATTCAACAAATAGTCACAGGCCCTCAACTATCTGACTATTGGATAAAGCTAAAAAATGGCACTAGTAATTCCCATCCTACATGGACTTGTTGGGTCTGGAGACCTAAGGCAGATGAGTGAGTGAGTAGCCCACCCCCATTCCTGCATCCTGAGGAGACGGAGGCCTGCATTCCTGCATCCTAAAGGAGAGATACAGAGTCTGATAGGTCTGCCACAGGGCTGATGAGCAAAATGCTCCCAAGATTGTTTCCCCTCCCCCAATAAAGGTGCAAACCAAACCAGTTCACCTGAGAAAGCCTGCGAATCCATGGCCAATGAGAAAAACCCCCCTAATCCTGAGTTAAAGCGTCCATAAAAACCTCAGCCTTCACCTGAGCAGCGAGCTGCCGGCTTCTGGCTCCACTGCACTTCTCTAGCTGTGGCCTTTCCTTTCTCTCTAATAAATCCTACTTTATATACTGGCTTTGGATCCTCACTCAGCAGCCTCACGAGCCAGTTCCCTGGACTGTGATGGCAAGGACCCTCCACCCCAGCATGTAACAGACTGAATTTCAAGGACTTCATGAATGGATTAATGAATGTACTGCAGTGTAGGTAGCACAGAGCTCCACCACAGCAGAGTGTCATTGTTTTTTGTCTTTTAAATTGGGAAGCCAGAAGGGGGAGGGTACTGAAGTCTAACTGCCACACAGTGCCATGTGTCTCATGGACTGTGCTGCAGGGCTTAATCTATGCAGTTATAAAGCAAACGTATGCAGATGAGGACAAGTGCAGCTCCTCACAGGGGGTGACATGGGGAGCATTAAGGAAATTCCCACAGAAATGACTGCAGTATCCTTTTGTCCCGATGGATTAAGGAATAAAGAAACCCTAAGAAGAAAAATAAATTGCCCAGAATGCTTAATGTAGAAATTTATTTGCAAGCACTACTAAAAAGTAATGAAACAGTACTTAAACTAAATTAAACTAACTGGTTTTAGTAACTCCAGACTTTGAAACCAAAGAAAGACATTTACTTCTTGGAGATGTTAAAAATAAATCACCATGTCTGATTTATCGCTGAGGACAGGAATAAATCAGCATGTCTGGGAGGAGATGAGAACAGGGCTGTATATACATGTGAAGTCAGGGGTTGGGGACGAGCATTCACATGACAGCAGGGACACTACTGAGACGCTTGGACACTCTACTGACCTGCTAAAAATTCAAATGGACTAAGGACCGTGTATGAGTGGCTCATCACAGACTGCCATCCAGAAATATTTGTTCCTAACCTCCTTCCCTCTTGAGCAGTATCTCAACTGATAGTTTTAGTTCAGAGACTCTATACTTTGCACATGAACTTCTGTTCTAAGAAAGCCTTCTGATACTATCACAAGTGAGTTTTCAGCTTTTAAGTCTTGGTTAGGCCCATAATAGATGATTCTTACAACCCAGAATTTAGTAGTGCAGACTTTGGATTCAGAAAGCCTGTACCAAAATCTGGTACAGTTTGACCTGGGGCCAGTTGCCTAGGCTCTGCATGCCATGCTCATCACTTCTATAAGTTGGGGACAAACATAACCTTACTTTGCTTAGCACTACGCCTGGGATTTAGGAACTACTCAGTAAATGTTAGCCCTTACTAAGCCTATCACTCAAGGAAGATAGATACCTACACAATAAGAACACGTGGTCTTTTTTTTTTTTTTAACTTTGAAAATATATATATTATTTATTTTATTATTCATATGTGCATACAAGGCTTGAGTCATTTCTCCCCCCTGCCCCCACCCCCTCCCTTACCACCCACTCCACCCCCTCCCTCTCCCTCCCACCCCCTCAATACCCAGCAGAAACTATTTTGCCCTTATTTCTAATTTTGTTGTAGAGAGAGTATAAGCAATAATAGGAAGGAACAAGGGTTTTTGCTGGTTGAGATAAGGATAGCTATACAGGGCATTGACTCACATTGATTTCCTGTGCGTGGGTGTTACCTTCTAGGTTAATTCTTTTTGATCTAACCTTTTCTCTAGTACCTGTTCCCCTTTTCCTATTGGCCTCAGTTGCTTTAAGGTATCTGCTTTAGTTTCTCTGCGTTAAGGGCAACAAATGCTAGCTAGTTTTTTAGGTGTCTTACCTATCCTCACCCCTCCCTTGTGTGCTCTCGCTTTTATCATGTGCTCATAGTCCAATTCCATTGTTGAGAACACGTGGTCTTAACGCTGTTTCGAAGGGTTTCTGTTACTCTGTATCCCCACACGATCTCTTTGTCCTGCTCCGGAACTCCTGGCCTTCACAGTATCTTGCTAGGTAAAGCAGCCTGTTGATGAAGACCCTGGGCCCCACAGCAGTGCACATTAAGTCCCTGTCCAGTGAAAAAGTCAAGCATCTCCAGGCCCTGTCGGATCTGTGAGCAGAAAGAAGGAAGCGCCTTACCAGGCCATGGTTGTGAAGATCACAGGAAACAGAAGCCACCAGTAGTAGTCTACCTTCTCAGAGAACACAGCCACCAGCAGCCCCACCAGCAGCCCGTTGTAGCCATGGAGTCCAGAGGCGATGGCTGACCTGGGGGTGAAACGGTTACTTTGTGTTGGACTTGGGGGTGCCCCTTAGGCCTTTCCTCCTGGAACTCCAGGATCTGCTAAGAATAGACAATTCATTTAAAAATAATACAAAAAGTCAGTCCACACAATGAATATTGGGCAATCACAGAGCCATCAGCTACTTTCTTGATTCTTTCTCCCTCTCTCTCTCTGATCTAGAAGTAAAATTATACACTTCTGTTTTATCTGTGGCTAAGCTCGCCTTTGCTTTTCAGGATCATCTCAGGCTACTAAGGATAAAGGAAAATCTAATAGAAGTTTGAGATGTGACGCAGGGTGTGTGTGTGTGTGTGTTTGTGTGCAAGGTAAGGAGAGGAGAGGGAGGAAATGAAGAGACAACAATTTTTTTACTGTTAAATTGGGAAGTGGAGTGGGGAGTACTGAGGTCTAACTGCCGCCCTGTGCCATGTGGTTGAGGAGCTGCTGTGCTGAGCGGGAGGGAGTGTTTTCACATGGCAGCACATGACGTTCTCTTTGGCTGAAGTTTGGGTGCTTTCCCTCTCTGTGACCTGCACTGAGTGGGTGACATAACTCACCTTAGGATGCCCATGTGCCCTGTGCCCACTTCTCAGTTATTGGGAGGTGAGATGTGTAGAACCGAGCTTGGATCTATGACTCTTTCTGTTTCATAGGAGAAATCACGTGCACTAGACCTCCTTCCCTGATCCTGACGCACACTTGATCTTGACCTTGGGAGAGGGTAGGGGGGATCAGACAGGGAAAATCCCACTGCAAGGTACCTTCCAGAGAATGAGCTTTAGGTACTATGGTCTGTCCCATGAGGTCAGAGCTTAACTGTGTTCACTGCTGTACCTCCTGTGCCCCAATATCAGCAGTATCTGGTGCACAGATGCTTGACCAGTGTTTGCTGAATGAATGTGTGTATACACTAAGCCTTATCACATACTGGCTGCTCTTATATGGCAAAGGTTTCTGGAAGCTTAGAGCTCCCTGAGATGGAGGAAGGGAACTCTGGCTGGTGGAGGGCTCCTGCCCTAGCAAAGGCTGTGACTTGGACATGGAAGAGAAAGGGTCTTTCACAGGAGAAAGTAACTGGACAATTTCTGGCAAGGAGAGTTGGGATACACACATTTATACCGGTGCAGGTCCAGCTAGCATTATAGCTGCTCCTGAGGCCATGACGTTAGGGGCAGGACACTCTTCTCCAGGGTCTGGGAAGCAATGAGGGTCAGGAAAGACAACTTGGCTATCCCAGGAGCACAAACTGTGTTTTGGGAAAATCTTTACTTTCAGGTTTTTGCATTTTCTCCACATTTCTGTGTGTTCAAGGTTAGAATTTAGTCCCTTTTTGCTGCTTTAGGTGAACTGAGGAGAGGTGTTGGCTCCAGTTTTGTTCATGGAAATCTTATAGCCCCAGCGTCTGGGGGGTGGCAGGGTAGCAAGGAACCAAGATGAAAGATTCCCACAGGAGATAACATTAGGGGACATGTAAGTAAGGTCTGCCTTAACAGCTGTATGCTCTGAGATAGAACTCTTTTTCTGTTCTTTCAGAACTCTTATTTTAACCAAAACTCTGAGGCTTCTGGGTTTGGTTATCGAAAGGAAACCCATTGCCTTATATCCTTGCCCGGATCATCAAAAATATAAAATTGGGTTAAACCCCAATGCTAAAAGATCTTCATCCGGGCCACGTTCCATCAAGACATGGTGGCATCAGTGTGTTGACCTTGAGTTACTGTTTATGAAGTACACAGCCTTGGGTTATTGGGAGCAGTGGGGTGGAGGCAGTAGGGTGGTCAAGGCGTAGTGGGGTGGTGACAGTGGGCAGTGATGCCATCCTTGGAAGGATTGCATCTCCATGTTGTGTAGGTGCTTAGGGTTTTGAGCCTGTGGTGAAGAACAATGGTGTCCACTTGTCAGCAAGGAAGCTTGAATATTTCTTACTGCTGTGGAGTATTGAACACTTTGAAATTTAGCAAAATACAGTGTTATGAGCTAAAATGAATGTTTCTCCCAATTAAAAATGGTGATAGACGGGGAGTAGCTTTGTGAAATACAAATGCAATTCCAGGAATTGGACTTACTTCCACACATTCAACCTTAAAGTTAAGTTGGTTTTGAAATGGGATTGGAAATGGACTTTCTGTCCTGAACATGCCAAGGAGAGAAGACTCAGGAAAAAAAAATCAAAGAACAATATAGTACTGGGTGTGTACTATGGTTGTTTAGAGAGAAAGAAGAGTTCAGAGTACTCTGGGGGTGGGCAGGGGTGGCTCTTTGAAGGAATGGTAGAATTAGATTGGCAGAGGTATAACACATGTCAGGAACCATGGAAGCAAGAGTGCTTAACTGGGGACAAGTGTGATGCTGAGCAACGACCTGTAATGGGGGCCCATGAAAGGATTTGGAAGCCACGCCGAGGGTTTGGGTTTTTATCTGATTTGTGTTTGTCTTAATTCTTAATAAGGGTGTCTGAGTGGATTAAGTGGGCCTGGCTGGTGAAGTGATTATTGTTAAGAGAAAAATCTGAGAATCAGGCTGTCAGAGCAAGAAAGGACTTGGATTTATCGAAGGTAAACCATAGGTTTTATAGATGGGAAATGTTTGCTTAAGGTCACGTAGGGAGGAAGGCAGCAGGTTAGATAGAATTCACCCTGGGTAAGTTTTAGCAAATGTTGGTGAAGCAGGAAGACGGGAGTTAATCCTGTGAGGGCCAGTTCTACCCATGGTCATCGTGGGCACCATGGCCATCTGTGCATGCGATGTGTGGTGAGAATGAAGAATAAGTGGCTTGCTGGTTGAAGCCAACAAAAAATCCTGGCAGGAACACATTTTAATCTCACCTACCAGACCTGTGCTCCAAAGAAGGTAGCCTCTCACCAATCCGCCCTTGAGTGGCCTCCTTGCTTGCTAGAATTGGAGTGGTTTCCTATGGCTGCCCTTAGAGGTATGTGAGCAGCCTCTCACAGAGACAAGCCAACCACACATTTGCCTCTGTGGAATGCGCCTGAAGACAGTGTGATACTGTTGCAGCTCAACCCACTCTGGCTACTGCCACTGCCCTGGGCTCATCCCAAGGCCTCCTGCCACACTGTCCATGCAGGTGCAATGACCTCTAGCCTGGAGAGTCCACATCAAATGTCTTGCCACCCACTTACTGTGGCACCTTAGTGAGTACCTTTCTCCTGTCAGTCTTCTCATCCTCAGTTGCAAAATGTGCACTCTGCTGCCTTCCCTGTCTGCCTTGGCAAGCAATGCTAAGAAACATGCAACTAGGAATGATGACTAAATATTTTTTGAGAAATCTGCTGTCAGGAATACATTTTATCTTATAACCCAGTTTTCTCTCATCATACCCCAATATAAATCAAACAAAAATTTCACAAAATAACATTTACCTTTGCTAGACATAGATTACTCTAATCAGTTTGATTTGATTCTATTGTCTTAAGATTTTAAAATGCTGTTGACAATGAACTCATGATCTGCAATCTCCAAATTGAAAAACGTTAAGGTAGGAGATAATCCAGAATTTATTCTTCAAACTTCTTTGAGCATCTCCTGGAAGATCATGTCAAAAATCATTGTCCGACAACCATTGAATGGAAGTATGTAATTATCTATGGAAGGATGGGATAGGAGATAGGTCTGAAACTGCATTTCTTCATAATCACTCCAAGTGATCAGGAAAGTTTAGGAGCTGTTGGAATAACATAGAGCAATGTCTAAACAGTCAAGTTCCACTTGCTACTTGATTCTGCATCTGCCAGTGCCTGGGCTCCAACAGAGCTGGATTCTCCCCCAGGAATGTCTTATGCTTCCAGTTACTTCTATTTGCCACCTCCCCCATTGCTCTCTCCTCTTCTCTCCTCTCCTCTCCTCTCCTCTCCAATCCCCCCGACCCAATATGTCTACCTGAAAGTCTCTCTCTCTCATATCCCCAACACTCAGATGTCTGTCTTCTCTGAACTCTCTCTTACATACTGCTTGTATTATTCTGAGACATTTATTTTCTGTTCATCTTATCTCCTGAAACTAGATTGTAAGCTCCACGAGAGAAGAACAGCTTAAGTGTTCCTCTGCTCCACAGCCAAATGAAGCCTGATGCTGTCATTGCTGTGAGCTGGAGCAATTTAATTTTGTAGGGATCTGCAGTGGCTTACTCAAGGCTGACACTCAGAAGACTTTGGTTGGTTGACTGCTTAAGTAAACACAACCTACCTGCCATACACATCTCCCCAAGAGGCATGTAGAGATGGACTCACCTGTCCTGGCTTAAGATGAGAGCGGTTAAAGTTGAGACCACTGTCCCCAGAGCCCCGGCAATCGTCCACCAGGGATTCTGGATCAGAAGTCCTATGAAGATGATGAGCCCGCTGAGGGGGTTGTTGACGAACATCACCTGAGCTGTCCCCCTCAGGACCCAGTCTAGGAACTGGAGAGCCAGGGATTTATCTGCAAGAGACAGACAGCCATCTACAGGGTCTTGCCTGTGTTACCCCACTGGACCATTGGTTGGCATAGCAACCAAAGTTCACAGGGATGCTCCAGGCAGGACTTATTCAGCCTGGCCTGGGTGGGGAAGTAGAGGGGGAGGGGGTGGCGAATGGCATCCAGCTCAAGTCTCTGAGTAGCCCAGCAACCGTCTACAGTGGGTGGTAGTTTTTGCCATATAGACTAAGGCACCGTGGTGAGACCAATTTAATGCGGTTCCAGCCATTGGCTTGGCTGGCAAGGAAGCCCCAGGAGCATTCCACAGGAAATTTACTGGTCCAAGAGAAGGGATGGGGGAGGGAAGGAAAGTCTTTTTTTGTGTAGTGCTGTATGACTCAGTGTGGGCAGGTATCTGAGCAGCAAAGAAAGTAGCCTGAAGAAAGGAAGCTGCAAAAGAAATTGTTTTAGCCCAGCTGTGAAAATCATTATTGAATTGGGGCCCAGAGGAAGCCAGGTGTAGAAGAGGAACGGACATTCTGCCTCCTTTTCTGGTTTGGTTTCCAGGACAACCCATGCTGGTGGGGGCATGTGAAGGTTGATGGGGAGGGTGTGGTGTTTGTTCCAGCTTTTAGTTCAGAAAGAAGTGAAAAGAAAAGAACCCTGGAGCCTTGGGGAGGGTGATACCAATATTTTCTTGGCACATGGTAGGCACATAATAAATAGCTGTGGGACAAGTGACCATTCATTCAGCTTGTTTGGGAAGTGGTTAATATGGTTGTCTTATATCAATTCCACAAAGGAATGAATAATTCACAAGGACTAACATGCATTTAATTCTGAAATGGTGAGTATTCTGGGCTAGCAGGGTATGTTACGTCCATCTGGAGTCAACTGAGGGCTGGAGCTCCCTCTAGGGTATGTCCTGCACATAGCCTTGTCCTGGGGAAGTGAGGGAGAAGCTTTCTTGTCCAAGCTGGAGGGAGGGCTGTCCCTGGCCCGGCCCTCTGCTCTTTTCCTGGGTACTTGCTCACCTTTCAGCCAGTTCTTGCACTCCTTCATCTCGCCTGTGAGATAGCCCACTGCTTGGAAGAGGCTGAAACTTCTCTGTCCGGCAGAGGACCTGCGGGGCACCTCGCTCTCTCTCCTTTTACTCCTTTCATTGGACTTTTCAATTTTCACAATATGGCTGTTTGCATCAGATGATAGGAGATCCTTTCAGGAAAAGCCATGAGAAGATATCAGATACTATACCTTTTTTTTTTTTTCCTGAGACAAGGTCTTGCTGTGTAGACCCAGCTGTTTTGAAACTCTCAATGCTACTGCCTCAGCCTCCCAAGCGCTGGGGTTGCAGGCGTGTCACACCCCCTGCCTGGCTTCAAGTAATATATGTTTTTGAGAGCAGGGGCATTAGTGATAGAAGAGGTTGTCAGGCTTTTTTTTTTTTTTTTTCTAGCGATCAAGAATCATGAGTCAAAGGATGAGACTCATGTCCATGGTGTGAAGCTGTCCAGAGTATCTCTTGCACGCCTAGTTCCCAGGACTACTACATGTTCTTCATAACAGGGATTCTTAACAGTCTGTGGCATGGATTCATTTTGGCAGCTTAGTGAAACCAGTGGACTTTATTCTAGAATAATGTTTGAAAATATACCAAAAAAAAAAAAAAAACCAGAAGAAAACCGATTATACTGAAACGCAATTTTCATGGTACATAAAAATTGTGGTCTATATATGTGCATTAGATCCAGTGCCTATTAAAATAAAAAATTAGTGATGAGAAAATATATGAAATCTCCTCACTTCAACTCAGAGCAATTCTGTAAGGTAACCCTTGCTCCATAAATCATCACAGGATCTATATTGTGATTGTATTGCAAGTCAATTTCTTCTTCTGAATCCTGCTGCCTTTCTTTCTCTCTAAGTGTTGATCCCAAAGGCACACTACAGTAAGTGCCTTCCTTGCAAACTTTCATGTCAAAGTCAGATTCCTGAAGAACCCACTCTGTGACAGGTAGTCCTAATGTGACTGTGGCTCACTGCTTACATTTGTAATGGAAGTAAATACTAAAGTCCATTGGAAGTCAGTGAAAATAAAGAATTATTTTCCTCTTCCAAGTTCATACTCCCCTCAATTTTATATGTGGACACGTTGGTCAGAGCTTATGCTCTAAAGCTATGCTGTCCAAGATGGTAGCCAATAGGACATGCAGCTATTAAGCACTTGAAACATGACTAGCGCTCAATACACTAAAAATAGAAGGCAAATTCCTCAACTCGATAAAGGTATCTACTAAAATCCCACAGTTATATCACCCTCAATGATAAAAAACTGAACACTGTCACTTCTAAGAGTAGGAACAAGGCAAGGATGTCTGCTTGTGCCATTTCTATTCAACATTGTACTAGGTATTCTAGCCCAAGAAATTAGGCAATGAAAAGGAACAAAAGTGACCTAGATTGTAAAGAAAAAAGTTAAACTCAGTTTGCATCCCTGTTTTCAGGTGGCATGTCCTTTTATATTAAAATTTTCTTTTGTGGTACAGGGGATTGAACCCAGAGCCTTACACTTTGTGCTCTACCACTTGTGCTATGTCCCAGCACTCTAGCTGAAAACTCTTAACAAATCTGCAAAAACTAACACACACACAAGCAAAAACAATCCTCCCCAAAACAAAACTGTAAAAACTCATGTGGAAATTCAAGAGCCCCAGCATAGACAAAACAGTTTTGAAAAAGAACAACAAAGTTGGAGGACTCAGATTTCTTCATTTCAAAACTTACCAAAAAGCTGTGCTAATCATGATGGTGTGATACTGCCATACAGATAAATGTATGACTTTGAAATAGAACTGAGGTATGAATAAGTTTAGCAAGGTTATAGGACAGATCAATATACAAAATCAATTTTATTTTTATGTACTGGCAAATGAACAATCTAAAATAAAACTAAGCAAACAAATTTGTGATAGCATCAACAAGAATATTTGAGGGTAAATTAAAGATGTGCGAGTCTCATACACTGAAAACAACAAAATACCATTGAAAGAAGTTAAATAGGCTGGGCACTTGGCTCATGCCTGTAATCCCAGCTTCTTGGGAGGCAGAGACAAGGAAGACTGAAGTATAAGACCAGCCCAGGCAAAAAGTTTGTGGACTACATCTCAACTAATAAAAAGGTGAGTGTGGTGGCCCATGCCTGTCATTACAACTACACAGGGAAGCATAAAATAGGAGGATTGTAGTTCAGGCTGGCTTGAGTGTAAAGTGAGACCCTATCTCAAAAATAACTGAAAAGGGCTGGGGAGTGTAACTCAAGTAGTAGAGCACCTGCCAAGCAAGCTTAGGCCTTGGGTTCAACAGCCCCCAGTACTGCCAAAAAAAAAAAAAAGACCTAAATAAATGGAAAGATAGCCCATGTTTATGGATTGAAATGATTTAATCTGGTTAAAATGACAATATTTCCCAAACTGGTCTACCAGTTTAATAAATTACAATAAAAATTATAAGGCATCTTTTTTTTCTTGCAGAAATGGAAAATATGATCGTAAAACTCATGTTCAAGAGTTCCAGCATAGACAAAACAACTCTGAAAAAGAACAACAAAGTTGAAAGACTCACATTTCTTAATTTTGAAACTTACCACAAGCTACAGTAATCATGATGGTGTGATAGTGACATAAAGATAAACATATAACTCTGAAATGGAATTGAGAGTCCAGAAATAACCCTATGTATCTATGTTCTATTGATTTTTATTAAGGGTGCCAAAACAACTCAATGGAGAAAGAATAATCTACTCAACAAATGGTGCTAGAACAACTGGGTATCTATATTTAGTCTTTTTTTTTCAGTACTGAGGATGGAACTCAAGGCTGTGAGCTTGCTAAGCAAGTGCTCTAGCATTTGAGACACCAGTCTTAGATATCCATACTGAAAACATCAAAGCTCGACCTCTACCTAGTACCATATACAAAAATTAACTCAAAATGAATAAAAACTTAAACTCTTAGGTAAAAACATGGGTACAAATCTTCATGACCTTGTAGAAGATGGTTTCTTAAGGTTTGACATCAAAAGCTTAACTAATCAAAGAAAAGAAAGATGAATTGGAGTTTATCAGAATTTTAAAACTTGGTTTCAAAGGATACTATCAAGAAATGAAAACAGAACCTATAGAGTAGGAGAAATTATTTTCAACCACATATTTGGTAAGGGTCTAGTAACCAGGATATTTACAGAACTATTAGAACTCAAAAATAAAAAGCAAATGACCCATTTAAAAAAGTGAGCAAAGGATTTGAACAAAGGCATTTATTCAAAGATAAACAAGTGGCCAAAAAGCCCTTGAAAAGATGTGCAACATAGCTTGCCACTAGGGAAATGCCAATCAAAACCATGAGATGCAATTTCATACTCACCTAGGCTACAATAAGAAGGATTGAGTAATAAATTTTGGTGAAGATGTAGAGAAATTGGAACCTCATATGTTACTGGTGAGAACTACAATGATGCAACTACTTGGAAAAAAGTCTAGCAGTTCCTCAAAATGTTAAAAACACAGTTATCATATGGTTTAGAAGTTCCACTCTTAGGCTTATATTCAAGACAAATAAGAACATGTGTTCACACAGGAGCCGGTACATGGACATTCATAATGGCAGTATTTATAAAAGCCCCAAAATGGAAGCAACTTAAATCTCCATCAACTGATGAACGGATAAACAAGCTTATATTATTTAGTCATAAAAGGGAATGAAGTACTGATTCATGCTTCAACATAGATGAATCTGAAAACATGCTATATGACAGAAGCAGTCACATATTATATGATTCAATTTATGTGAAATATCCAGAGCAGGCAAATTCTCAGGAACAGAAAGTAGATTGGTGATTGCCAGTGTCTGGGGGGAGATGAAGAGGGAATGATTTTCGATGGACATAGGGTTTCTGTTTGAGGCATTGTAAGGTAAGCATTCTGGAATTAGATGTGGTGATGTTTGTACAACTCTATAAGTATACTTAAAACCACTAAAAGTATACTTTAAAAGGGTAAATTTTATGTTATGTTTTATGGTTTGAATCTGAAATGCCCGCCCCCCCCCCTCCGCCCCCAAATCCTCAAAGGCTTGGTGGCCAGCTGTGACTGGATCATGAGAACTCTGATTTGGTCGATGGATTATTCCATTGATGAACTCACAATGTGACGGTGGTACTGGGAGGTGCTAGAAACTAGGAGGTGGAGCCTACTCGGAGGAAGTAGGGTACTGGGGCATGTCCTTGAAGGGCATTGGGATGCTGGTCCCTTCTCTTTCTGCTTCCTGGAGCAGCTGTCCTCTGCCTTGCCTTTCTACAATGCTGTTTCAACCTCACAGCAATGGAGCTAACTGACCATGGAGTGAAGCCTCTGAAACCATGAGCCAAAATAAATCTTTCCTACTTTAAACTGTTTCTCTGAGTATGTGCCACAGTGACAAAAAGTCTGACCAATGTAGATGTGAATTATGTATCCGTCCACCTCTGTATTCCTGTGTTCAGAGAGCGTCAATGGCATATATTCTAACGAAGGCCTTCCGCTTGGAGCCCATAGAGTCAATCAGGGCAGCAAGGCTAAGGGCAAAGACTGTGGAAACTGTTTGGAAGCCTGGTACACGAGTGTCCTTAAAACTGTATCTCACACAGAGCCACATTTTCTTGTCTAAGGCCAGGGGGACTGAGTATGGATTTGACCATGTATTAATTAGGGGAAGAATCTCCCTGGGCAGTGCTCTTTCTTGGCAGATACAGAGTCCTTTGGGAAACCAGGAAAGCAGCATCTTTCACTTCCCTGCCCCTTGCTTCCCCTCCTGGGAAATATACTGGAGGGGACATTGCTTACCTTTTCCTCAGGCATTTCCAGCAGGGGCAGGGCTGGATGTGCATCCTGGGAGCTTGAGGGCCAGGTAGAGTTGCTAGGCTCTAATTTGTAGAATTTGTATCGGCTGGAATAAGGCTCTGGCAGGAGAGGGCTGCAGTGGCTGTCAGACATCTCTCTCAGGGAGTGTTTGCTCATCTGTCATGCAACAGAGAGGGAAAGGGAAAAACTGGTGAGTGAGGATGAGGCTAGACCAACACCTCAGGAGGCGTGGGGTCTGACCCAGGTTGGGGGTCGCCAGTGACATACATGGGGTCTACTGCTCCTGGTAGCTGGTGCTGCCAGAGTGGCTGGACGTCATTCCTCCACCCATTTTGCTTTTCAAAATTCCCTGTGTCCAAAAAAAAAACCCAAAATCCAATTTTTCACTGTCAAGATTTCCCTGAACACCTAGTTAAAAGTCTCTTTCTTTTTCACATCACTGAAATATTTTTTGCCTGTTAGTTCTACATATACTTCCTCTTCAGTATGTATATATAGATCCAGTACTGACTGAGGATCTAAAAGAACCGATTTTCTAAGTTTCTATGAAAACTTGAACTCTAATCCCCCTTCTCTTCCTTGGACCCTTCTTAGCCCCTGTCCCTCTCCAGGAGTTACACAAAACCTTGGCATGTTCTACTGAGAGCTGTGTGCACACAGGGTGGAGGTTCCTTTCCTCTCAGGTGGGGCTCTTTTTCCTTTCCCTACTAAGGCCAGAGCCTGTGCCATGACTTGCTTTTGGAATGTCCTCTGATCAAGATTGCATTTCTTGTTTCATCCTGCTGTCTTGTCTACTGGAAAAGCTGTACTCTTCTTCTTTCCATTCGGTTATTCTAGTCATAACTTCTCTGCCCTCCTCCAGCTCAGTTATGTCTTTATCTATTTACTGTGTGTTGGGTAGGTGGTTTGAACTTGTACACAGTCTTCTCTTACTGTGATCTAGAATTTTCCCCCTTGCTCTGAGCTGCCTGCTCTGCGTTGCAGGAGGCTTTCTTAAGACAGGGATTATAGATCCCTAATGTGAGTGCTTCCGTTCCTTACACTGACCATCACAGATACTGTTCAAGGACCACAGAGTTCTCTTCCAAAGGAGATGAAGACCCTGGGTACCTCTGCATTAGTACCATTTCCCTGGGCTATTTCCTCTCCTCTTCCCAAGAAGAGTAATTCTTCCTCTCCACTGTTGCTTCCAGACACCTCACGTATGCAGAAACACTCTTCTCTGAGGTACATACTATCTGACCATTCCTTCTTTCCAGCTGCTTCCTGCTATTACTGACTTTTTAGTCCTTGTTTCATTCAGCGAAGACTTTCGGTGCTCCTAAAGCTTCTTCATCTCACTCCAATAATTCTAAGCAACTTTGATGTCTAGGCAAAAAGCTCATTGTCTTCTTCTCTGGCTTCTCAGCTCCTTGTTCTCCTCTTCTCTACTGACTCTTTCCACCTCATTTTTTACAGCTACCATTATCCACAGCCACATCATGGACTTGATATCACACATCCTATAAAATCTCGAAAGTCAGATCTCTCTTCCGGCCCCTACCTCCTGTGTACTTTCAACTCATCTGCCCAAGTGCTCCCTCTGATCCAGCCCTTTAAACTTCTGGAGTTTTCTGACTGGTTGGCTCCACCTTTTGTCCTTTGTCTCCATGGCCAACTTTGGTTTCATGGTCCATCATTTTACTTCTTTCAACTCCCTTTTTCCTTTCTTCTTCTCTCATACTTTTGTGGTTTTATATCAGCTAAGATAAGCCCAATTTTTCTATGCTTTCATCAAGCAACTGAGCATGGTTAGAAAACAATTTCATAAATGGAATAGACTGATTTCACTTTATGTTTCTGATTTCCATCTTCAAAGGAGCACTTGTCATTCCCTTTTTTCTCCTTAGCCCACCTCATTCTAGTTTCTGCTACCACTGCCTTTGCTAAAGTCTAAAAGACATCTATCTTGGAAAATCCAAATAGTCTTCAATCCTCATATTACTAGATGGCTCAATGGTATTCCAAGACTTGACCATCCTCCTTGACACACTGGTTAGCTTTTATAGCTGGCCTTCTCTCTGGTTGCTTCCTCACCTCTTCTTGGTTGGCTCTGCCTTCTGCACATAAAATAATCCTGCAGAGCTCTGTTCTGTACTGTCTTTTTTCATGGATACTCTTACCCAGGTGATGTCAGCTGTCACCATGGCTTTCTATTCCATCTACATGCTTCTATTCCAAATCTAATATTCAGTTTTGAGCACAGATCAATAAATCCCTTTGTTTACTTTGCACTTGCACTACTAGAAGTCGTTGCCTATTCAAATCCTGTCCTCCCTCAAGGGAAGCCCCCTTCCCAAGCTACTCCTCAGAAAACTCAGGAGTCAGGTGTGATGCTACCGTCTTTTTCCCTCTCCGAAGCTAGTAATTGTTTCTAAAATATACCTTCATGTTCACAGACCCCAGCTAACTACCATTACTTCTTGTACCTTCTCTAAGAATGCCCATTTGGACACCTCCCCTTTCCCTAGATTTATTCTCCAAGCCGTGCTCTACAGGACAAGTTGATTCTCTACTTAAAACCCTTCAGTGGCTTCAAATGAAAAAATTATGTCTTTAACACTCATGCAAAGCTCTGAGTCACCGACTTCCACATGCTTTAGCCTGTACCCAACTTCTCTTGCCCCACTGCTCTGGGTTCCTCATTGACCTCCTGGAACTGACCTCTAGTCAGTGCCTAGAAGGTGTTCAGTGTATTCTGCCTCAGGACTTCTGCAAGTGCAAGGTCATCAGCTTGGAAGGCCTCTCCCTCCCTCTTTACTTGGCTGACCTTACCACTTGTTAGAAAAGTCTTCTCAGATTCACCCTTCCTCCAATGCCTGTACTTCATGTATTCTCATGGGACCCAGTATTTTTCCTTATAGCAGTTTTGAGTATTTATTTGTATAAACCATGCCCCCCTCCCCAAGATTTATAAGGAAAGTGACCTCCTCTGTTCTGTTTACTGCTATATCCCTAGCTCCTAGCATAGTGCCTGGCATATAGTAGGTATTCAATAAATAAATTTTAAGTGGAAGGAAGAAAGGAGGGAAGAAAGAGAGGAAGGAAAGAGAGAAGGAAAGAAGGAAGAAAGGGAGGAAGGGAAGAAGTGAGGGAGGAAAAGAGCAAGAAAGGAAAGAAGGAAGAAAGGAAGGAGAAAAGAAGGAAAGAAGGAAGGAAGGGAGAAAGAAGGAAGACAGGAGAGAGGAAGTAATGAGGGGATTGTAAGTAAGGCTACAGGTGACTGCTAGAGTGGGAACACTTCCTTGGAGAATTTTACAAGTCACTGTGGGTCACAGGAGTCTCTGGCAGATTAAGAAGAGTGTGGGCCACCCACCGGCTCTGTATTTGCAAGACAGTGGCGCTCTTGCAGTGACTAGCACTGGCCCTTACTCCGAGGAGTAGTTCATTAAGCCATAGCTAATTTTTACACAGCTCTGTGAACAACATTCAAATCTAACCCACCCTGACGCTGCCGTTGCTCCCTCTATTCTGACCCTGCAGGTGGGGTTTCAGTGAGGTGTGGAGCACAGTGCCCGGGAGGGGCCTGCTAGAAAGGTTTAGAAGAGATCACATCGAGTCTGGGAGCCTGTACCTCTCCAATGTGCTCTCCCCCTCTGGTGGTCAAGAGGTGATACAGCATCCCTGGCCCCTTGGTAAAAAATTCCATATGAAAAGTAAGCAAGGGCCAGAGATACCTAGATAGATGATCTGTGATCTGTGTCACACCATGCATCTGGATGAACTAGTAACGTTCTGGAAAGAACTTGGGTTAAATTTAGTGGCTGTAAAGTCCATGAAAAGTCCAGCTGAAAAGTGGTAAATGATAAAGTGCAAATTTTAAAAAAAATGTATTTCATTGAATCTAAGATGCTATCAACTGTAAGATATATGATTATTTTATTATCACCAAGAAAGAAGAAAATGCTGCCAATCATAAATGTAAGATGCGTCTTCATCTCACAGCATATGGTGCTCTAGTGCAGATATGTGTTGAGGATGAGTATATTTAGGAATTATTGCTTAACCACGAGACTTCAAATATCTTATATTTCTTTTGATGAAGATTGTGTATATATGTTATGAGCCCTTTGAGGCAGGGGCGTCTCCTTGTTAGTTTCTGTATTTGTACCACCCAGCAGAAAGCCTGACCCATAATAATTCCTGGATAAATGTTTATGGAATGAAGAAAAGCAAGGATGATCATGCAAAGGAATTACTTTCTTCTCAACCCTTGACTCTGTGTGCAGATGATATTCCCATTTACAGAGACATCAAGTCCCAGAAAAGCAAACAGGAATTGTTTCTCTCTGAACTTTCTAAAGTATGCTCACTTCGTTGTACTGTCTATAGGAAGAAGAGACCCAAAGAACTGGCAGCTTGATGCAGGGTCAAATTAGACTGTGAGTTCACCAGCCAGGGCTCCCTCCTTACTTCCACCCTCTTGTTGGGGCCCAGATGGGATCTGTAGAGATTTGGCCTTCAAGGCTGGGGTACAGTCCCTCAGCCCAGCACTCTGTTTCACAAGCTCACACGGCCTTAGCAGTAATGACCTGCTTGCATCTCCTTTGGGAACACAGCACTCCATTACCATGGGAATGTTTATTCTGTTACAATGGGGAATTTTGGCTTGAGGGCTCGGGTGAGATGTGCAGCAAAAATGGCCTTGTAAAGAGAAGGTCGCTATGTTTGGAAAGAGTCCCTGGCTGGTGTGCTGCATGGGCCTCCACATTGCCCTCTTCACAGGGTGATCAATAAAATTGCTGACTTAGTTCTTGGCACATAGTAGGCAGTCCATGATTTTCATTTCCAACTCTTCTCATCCTCCCAAATTGAAGAGAAAGATGGCTAGAGCAACCAAATCAAGTACAAGCTGACTGGTCTGAGATAGAATGTACTTCCAAAGTTTTCATGAGGCGTCACCACTTGTTAGAATTGGACATGGATTCCCTGCCCCAGCCACATCCCTTTTGAGGGCCTCAAAGCCTATTCCCAGCTCCACTCAGAGCCAGTGCATTAAACCTGCTTCCAAGAACACATAATGATCTGGCTGGCGCTCTCCCTTTTTCCTTGGCCGCCCACGCCTTCTCCTTTCTTTCAGAAATACAGACAGAAAGCCTCTTTGGATCAGTCTCACATA